AACAATGGGCTCAAACATTGCAACAGTTGTGAGGGTGGTGTAGGACCAGGCAGTGTTTAGTTCTGTTGTACGTGAGTAACTGTGAGCTGGAACCGACTCACCTAATGACACCTAACAACAACATAACATGTTAAGAAGCCGGAAAGTTGTTGCTCTTAATTTACGGGAAAAAAATTCACAAATTTTTCCTAGGTTACGTGATGCATTTTCTCCCTTGTTACAAGTGTTAGAAATTTGAGCTGGGTACTCTCCTAAGAAGGAAAAAAAACCCAAAAACTTAAGGAAACTAGATAAATACTGGTCAACAAAAATATCCTCTCAGAAGTTTTAAACACTGTTTTTAAAAACCTGGAAATAACCAATGAGAAGAAACTTATGGCTACATAATTTACTTTACTTCCTAAAGCAGAATATACGTACAAATCAGACATGTTTTAGAAGATTATTTAAGAACATAGAAAACCATGCACATTAATGATGCTGGATTATTAAAAATCTGATTACAATATAATATACATATTGTGCATCCTCATTTCTAAAAATAATTACTCATGTGCATTGTTGTTGTTAGGTGCCATCGAATCGGTACCAACTCATAGAGACCCTGTGTACAACAGAATGAAACACTGCCCAGTCCTGGGCCAACCTCACCATTTGTTGCCATGCTTGAGCCCACTGATGTTGCCACTTGGCCAATCCATCTTGCTGGGGGTCCTCCTCTTTTTCTCTGACCCTCCACCTTACCAAACATGATATCCTTCTCCAGCGACTGATCCCTCCTGACAATATGTCTGAAGTATGAGAGAAGAAGTTTGGCCATCCTGGCCTCCAAGGAGCACTCTGGCTGTACTTCTTTCAACACAGACGTTTGTTTGGCAGCCCATGGCACTTTCAATATTCTCCTCCAAGACCATATCTCAAAAGCATCAATTCTTCTATGGTCTTCCTCAGAAACAAATACAACAACTCTGTATTAACATGCTAATTGTGGTTCTCTTTAGGTGGTGGAATTATAGGTAAACTTTAGTTTCTTTTTTCTTCTCTTTTGAGCTTGTAAAGTTTTCCACCATGAGAACATACTGCTTTTTGATGAGACATTTTTCAGTCTTGTTGATCCTAAATTCAGGTTGATTACTAAATGATTCGCTTGTCCAGACAGTTTTTCTCTCCTGATAGTGATCATCCAAATTAGTTATAATGGGTACATTACTAAAATGCCCTAGCTCTGGCTTTCTAACTCAGGCCAGAAGATGAACGAAAAAAGACCCAGCTGAACTGAATAGAGGTAATGATGCTCTGAAAAATGAATGAACTAGATCTATAAATATTCATATCGATACAATATCACTAGGGAAGAGAGCAAATAAGTAAATACATTCAATATAAGCATTGTTGTTTTTGTTGTTAAGAGCCATCGAGTTGGCTTCGGCCCACAGCAACCCTGTAGAGGGTTTCCAAAGAGCAGCTAATGAGCTTGAACTGCCAACCTTGTGGTTCAAACCAACTTTGCAGTCCAGCGCATTAACCCACAGAGCCACACCAGGACTCCAACATAAGCACAGAAAGTAATAGTACATTCTGTTTAGAGATACATGCATGATTTCCATGTAAAAGGAAAAACATGAGCATGACACACAATGAATTCAGAATTTTAAGTACCTTTGAGTCCTGGGTGATGGAACTGGGGAGGGTTAACACAGGAAGTGATAATTTGTATTTCTTAAACTGGCTGACAGATATACAGGCATTCAACATATATTTTTATCTCTTAGTATTAGGTAAAAAGACAAATTATGCTAAGAAGAGAGGGACTAAGAGCTGGTGGTCAGGAGGCAGACTTGCAGAATGTACCCTTTGGAGATGTAAATTATTATACATGCCTGAGTGGTTTTTTGTTTGTTTCTAAAAGCTAAAGTGAATAGAGAGAA